TCGGGAGGAATTGAACACCGGGGGAGGGGTAAAGGTGGGGGCGTGGGTATTCGACAGCCACAGAGGTGCACCACATAAAAACTACTAAATGCAGATGGAAAGTAGTAAAGGAAGACTACGTACACTGCACAAACAGTCGCCTAAACTGGCAGAATTCAAAATGGCGAAGATTGTCTCAAAATTAGTGCCAATTCAAAGTGTAAAATATGAAATCCAGATAAGCTAAAGAATATAAGATTAGCAGGATTTGGGAATTTAACTTTGGGGCGGGAGAGGTGCAAATATCCAACAATATATTTTATTTTTACATTGGGGAAGTGTTGGAACACATCTAGTTTATGTCCAGTCTCATATTTCAACAGCACAGGGCAGCGGTGGGCCAACGTCTGCGCCGTTCTTACATTCCGCGTATACTAAAAAGCAGCACAAAAGTAACATTCATTTGTTAACTTTGGAAAAGCACTAAGAAAAGAACTTTGTTAGCAAAGGGGAAAGGAACAGATCTGACAACCAGAACATGAAATACAAAGCAGATTTGAGAGGTGTAAGAGATGAAGGTTGGTAAGTACAGATAATTCCACATCAGTAGGGCCCTGCAGATGCTGCAGATTATATAAAAAAAACCCAAACATGACAATTTCTCTGCTACTTGGAATTAAAATTGGGCTCCGCCTGTTGGCTGCCCAGCTACCTGCATTCAAGGTCAGCTTTGTGCCATTACAGCAGTAGCTGCCCATGCATCTCTCCCTTGCTCTCAATGGGTTATAGCCATGGCCTCCCATTTTTCTTGCTCTTGACTGGATACAGCTATGGCCATACATCTCTTCCTTACTCTCAATGGGCTACAGCCATGGCCATCCATCGCTTCCTTACTCTCAATGGGCTACAGCCATGGCCATCCATCGCTTCCTTACTCTCAATGGGCTACAGCTATGACCATCCACCTCTTTCTTGCTCTCAATGGGCTACAGCTATGGCCATCCATCTCGTCCTAGCCCTCAATAGCCATGGCCATCCATCTCTTCCTTACTCTTAATGGGCCACAGCCATGTCCATCCTCTCTCTTCCTTACTCTTAACGGGCCACAGCCATGTCCATCCATCTCTTCCTTACTCTTAATGGGCCATGTCCATCCATCTCTTCCTTACTCTTAACGGGCCACAGCCATGTCCATCCATCTCTTCCTTACTCTTAATGGGCCACAGCCATGTCCATCCATCTCTTCCTTACTCTTAATGGGCTACAGCCATGTCCATCCATCTCTTCCTTACTCTTAATGGGCTACAGCCATGGCCATCCATCGCTTCCTAGCTCTCAATGGGCTACAGCCATGGCCATCCATCGCTTCCTAGCTCTCAATGGGCTACAGCCATGGCCATCCATCTCTTCCTAGCTCTCAATGGGCTACAGCCATGGCCATCCATCTCCTCTTTGCTCTCAATGTGCTACAGCCATATCTAAACACCAGTGGCCCCTATTCCCAATACTAAAATCACCACTGCTTTCACAAGGCTGATATGCAAGGAGAATTTCCTAACTTTTAAAATAAATGGTCCAGTTTCATAGGAGGAAAACTAAAATCTAAAATAGATACAACAGTCCAAGGATAAGAGTAGAGGGGCTGCTAATCAGCAAAGCACAACATTTCTGTATCCTGACAATGAGCTCAATTCCAACATTTCAATGATACAAAGGCAGGAAACAAAGCCACACACTGTAGGTGTCACACCGTAACATTTATTCAGTTTTAAGAGGCTTCTGACATGGTCCAGGCCCTAAGCCATGCCCCTTTGATGCGTTTTACCCTACTTGGGCTTATTCATACCTCTACAAATAAGTCAAATCAAGTTGAAATGCCTCAAAGGGGTGAGGCTTAGAGCGGGGATCATGTTACACTGAATAAACAATATGTTGTGAGGCCTACAGAGTACGACTTCATCTTCTGCCTTGCTATCTATGCAGAATAGGACGAGCTCCTAGAAGCCAGCAACTGGTATAGCTAAGGACCTGAAAACAATGCATGGAGATTGGAGCAGTGGAGCCTTCTTTTGAACTTCTACTGAAACTCATTACGAGAATGCTTGCCACTATGGATGATGCAGAAAACCACGGGCACATTGTTTAATACACAGCGGAAACCAGAAACCGGAGGCGACATTTTGAATAGATATCAGATTACATTTTTTTTATTTCCATAAAGAATTATCTGTACTTATCCACAGAGTTCTTGAAATGACCGATCTTTTAAAATGTTTGATTTGGATGAGGAAGGCTTAGAAAAAAAAAAAGATCAATATTCAGTAAAAAACTGGAGCAACGAGAACAAAGAACTTAGAACAAAATCAGAGATATCACAACACGCAGATATTGCTATAATGAAACATTTCAGAACATCTGTGCTAACCTTCATGAAATAAAGTGTAAAGGGGTCCCAGGGGGTCATTTTCACCTGTGTTCAGGTAGGGCTGCCTTTTTATTTGAAGGGGCTGTCCAACACACCACAGTAGGTAAAAAAAATGGGCATGCAATCCCAATGCGAAAGTGTGAAAAGTGTAAAAGGGTGCTGGAGTTTGGACAGGGATCCTTAGCTCTTAATGTAATTCTAAGGGGGCTGTAATGGGGGCGCCTCTTAATCCATATCCATTTTCCATAAAAGTAAAACTCTGAGGGTGATGTAATGGGTGCGTCTCTTAGTCCATATCCATTTTCCATAAAAGTCAAACTCTGAGGGTGATGTAATGGGTGCGTCTCTTAGTCCATATCCATTTTCCATAAAAGTCAAACTGAGGGTGATGTAATGGGTGCGTCTCTTAGTCCATAGCCATAAAAGTTAAACCAAGTACTACCCATGAAATAAACCAAACATTCTCCAAAAACTCTGAGGATCATGGCTTCCTTAGATTTAGGAAGGAGAGCAATTATAACATTATTAAATACAGAGTCAACATGCCCCCCCTCCCCTGCAGGAATTAACCAATCTATTGCCAAACATAGAAAGGAGTTGCTGTGAACCCATGGCAGACACAGGGTTAAATATATAGCTTTAAAAGCTCTGAGAAAAATAAAAACCAGGAACACGGACCTAGAAAAAAAAATCATATACATTAATAAAGATCATATATACAAAAAGTTTACACTGTGGTGAAGGGAAGGGGCTAGACAAGTTCAATGCCTGCTCGTGCTATTTATACAGAATGAAGGGGGGGGGGGGGGGAATCTCAGGTTGGGGCTATTGCAATCTCATTCTCAGACAATGAAGCCGGAAAATTCCAGGCGGTTCTCAACAGTCGTAAAGTGCAAAACTACTGCACGCGGTTATCGACGCATTCTCTCATCTAAACTGTACTCGAGCCAAAAAAGTCACAAAGCTTTATAGGAATACTACTCTGAACACAACGTAAAAAAATAAGCAAACTTTAATCTTAAGGTTTCACTTAGAAATGTTTTTTTTCTTTCTTTTTTTTTTTAGGTGCTTTGGGATAAAGAAAGGAGAAAAAAAAAATAAAAAGTTTCCCAAGTTGCCTAAAGAAACTGTCAGACCAGCTTATGAATGAAAATGTTACCACCCGATTCACATCTTGTGTCTCTGAGCACCAAAACAGCCGGCGACCGTTGTCTGTCCTGCGGACGTACTACATCAAACTGACGCCCAAAGTCCAGGCCCAGCTTTCTCCGACAGGCCCTCCTCCGAGACAGGAAGAAAAGAGCTGATGTCCTTGGTAAGGCCAAAGCAAGACAACTTGCTGCAGAAATAGAATTTTTTTTTTTTTTCTTTTTTAATAGAAATTTATCCTCTATAGTGCACACATTCCTCCTTGGCAGCCGAGCGACGTCAGCAGTATTTCTACAAAGGGCGAGACAAGAAATAAATTTAGTTAGTTGAAAGAAAATGTAAAACCTTCCACCAGCAAATCAGTGGAACTCTGGGTAATAAAAAAAAACAAAACAAAACAAAAAAAAACACATACGGTGCAGCATGTCACGAACATCAACAGTTCTTTAGGTGTTCCAATAGTCATTTATTACGGATTCTTCCAGTAGATCTACTACTTTTCAACTTCTTGTAACAGGGTGACAACGCTGTTCTACAGTGAATTTGCAAAGCAGCGTGGTCACCCTGTGGAGAGGGTAATCTTAGATGGGCAGGAAGCAGCAACACAAACTGCTCTGTGCAAAGTGAGCCTCAATATTCATATATACAAGGGGGTTGGGGTGGATTTTCTAAAGGCAAATAGACTGTGCACTTTACAAAACGCAGTTACACTCTGTAAGTGCAATTTTCCCAGAGCTTAGTAAATGAGTTAAACCTCCACTTTACAAAGAATACCCAATCACATGCAAGAAAACCTGGACAAAAAAAAAACCACAACATATTTTTGCTGGTACATGACTGGATGATGAGAGTTGGCGGAGCTCTCTCTCATTTACTAAGCTCTGAAGCATCTGCACTTGCAAAATGCAGTCTATACGCCTTTAAAATTGTTTATAAAAAATGGGGTAGATTTACTAGAGTGGCCATGGACAGCAAGATATCCCACTGTGAATGGGGACACCGGCTGTTAATTGTCACTGAAACAATGGACTATGTGATCGCAACCCAAAAGGATTATGGGAGTAAAGATAAGACACTGCTTTCCAGTCAACAGCTAAGCTAGGAACTTTAATCCTCCCTTAGAGTCCAGATCATGTGACCAAATGCTGCCATAAAGTCATCTGACCAGCACTAGCAGGGAAAACATCACAAAGATTCTTGGAATAGGCACTAACATGTTCCAATGCACCGCAGCACAAAGAATTAGAGACATTTAAAGCCATCTCTGGGCAAACACTAACCCCCATCCCATCCAGCCTCTCTAAGTGACCACTGGCTTACAAAAAAAAAATTAACCCCAAAAAGTTAAAAAAAAAAAAAAAAAAAGTGTAGATAGAGGAGGGGTGTTAGGAAGGACATGTGTCGTACAGCCAGATTAGTCCTGGTAGGTGTATGAAAATCCAGTCACCTGGTCCGGTCCCATCGGCATGCCTGACATGGGCAAGGAGTTCATAGCCATTTGTCCCATGTGGTTACCATTACTGTTCATGTGCATCATGTTGTAGGTGCCTGGATTGGCCTGGTGGCTGTACTGCTGCGGGAACGAGCTGCAAAGACACAATGGGCGGCATCAAAAACACGGATTCGGCACCATTAACAACCAATGACCCACGACTGGGGAAGTGGAGGGGTTAGTGCTTAGGTAAACTCATTGGCAACCCTAGAGGCACATGATGGAAGCAATTACCTGGGCCTCGCTATATTTCCTGACGGCCAGCCCTTCATGTCAGGTGACTGGTACATCTGTGTAGGCTGAGGGTGAGGGTTCTGTGTAGGAGGCATACGAGATGTCATCATGGGGTTTGGGGGGCTGGAAACTCTTCCAAATGTGGGATCGGCTTGTTGATTCATTCCTGAAAGGCACAATGTATTTTTTACTAACAGAAAGAAGGTACAAGGGATGAGCAGAGCGAGTTTATCATTCGAAGACTTGTGTAGGATAGGGATCTAGAGAAACTTACCATAGCTAGGTGGGTAGGAGAACTGCTGGGGAGGAGCCTGAGGCATGGGAGGTCCAGCCAGGGGGCTCTCCATACTGGCAGAAGCAGTCACATTGGGGGGAGGGCTGAACCCCTGCGGCTGCCCCTGTTGCATAATCAAGGCCATCCTCTGCTGGCGGATCTGGTGGCTGAGGAGCTCCCGGTTCCTCTGAGCGACCATTTGAGCATTCAGAAATCCCTGCTGTAAAACAAGAGGCGTCAATGCTATTCTGATAAAAACATCCAATCAAATCTGCAATGCTGTATGTTAAAATTCAATGTATGTACAAGCCTTTGTATCTTACCATTACAAAGAAATCGCTGTGGGAATGACTGAGGAACACCTACACACGGGAGATATAACATTTGGCTCTGAAGGGAGGGGGGGTTGGCGTTTGTCATTCGAGTGTTTCGACAGAAATTATTTCTTCCATTTATAGCACCAACAGCAGTGCTTTAAAACAAGGACATACACCAATCAGCTAGAACATGACAGGGTCATGGCTGCCAAGGCACATTGATGGAGGTGGGGGAGGGAAGGCTCATTGATGGAGGTGGGGGAGGGAAGGCTCATTGATGGAGGTGGGGGAGGGAAGGCTCATTGATGGAGGTGGGGGAGGGAAGGCTCATTGATGGAGGTGGGGGAGGGAAGGCTCATTGATGGAGGTGGGGGAGGGAAGGCTCACTGATGGAGGTGGGGGAGGGAAGGCTCACTGATGGAGGTGGGGGAGGGAAGGCTCACTGATGGAGGTGGGGGAGGGAAGGCTCACTGATGGAGGTGGGGGAGGGAAGGCTCACTGATGGAGGTGGGGGAGGGAAGGCTCACTGATGGAGGTGGGGGAGGGAAGGCTCACTGATGGAGGTGGGGGAGGGAAGGCTCACTGATGGAGGTGGGGGAGGGAAGGCTCACTGATGGAGGTGGGGGAGGGAAGGCTCACTGATGGAGGTGGGGGAGGGAAGGCTCACTGATGGAGGTGGGGGAGGGAAGGCTCACTGATGGAGGTGGGGGAGGGAAGGCTCACTGATGGAGGTGGGGGAGGGAAGGCTCACTGATGGAGGTGGGGGAGGGAAGGCTCACTGATGGAGGTGGGGGAGGGAAGGCTCACTGATGGAGGTGGGGGAGGGAAGGCTCACTGATGGAGGTGGGGGAGGGAAGGCTCACTGATGGAGGTGGGGGAGGGAAGGCTCACTGATGGAGGTGGGGGAGGGAAGGCTCACTGATGGAGGTGGGGGAGGGAAGGCTCACTGATGGAGGTGGGGGGAGGGAAGGCTCACTGATGGAGGTGGGGGAGGGAAGGCTCACTGATGGAGGTGGGGGAGGGAAGGCTCACTGATGGAGGTGGGGGAGGGAAGGCTCACTGATGGAGGTGGGGGAGGGAAGGCTCACTGATGGAGGTGGGGGAGGGAAGGCTCACTGATGGAGGTGGGGGAGGGAAGGCTCACTGATGGAGGTGGGGGAGGGAAGGCTCACTGATGGAGGTGGGGGAGGGAAGGCTCACTGATGGAGGTGGGGGAGGGAAGGCTCACTGATGGAGGTGGGGGAGGGAAGGCTCACTGATGGAGGTGGGGGAGGGAAGGCTCACTGATGGAGGTGGGGGAGGGAAGGCTCACTGATGGAGGTGGGGGAGGGAAGGCTCACTGATGGAGGTGGGGGGAGGGAAGGCTCACTGATGGAGGTGGGGGAGGGAAGGCTCACTGATGGAGGTGGGGGAGGGAAGGCTCACTGATGGAGGTGGGGGAGGGAAGGCTCACTGATGGAGGTGGGGGAGGGAAGGCTCACTGATGGAGGTGGGGGAGGGAAGGCTCACTGATGGAGGTGGGGGAGGGAAGGCTCACTGATGGAGGTGGGGGAGGGAAGGCTCACTGATGGAGGTGGGGGAGGGAAGGCTCACTGATGGAGGTGGGGGAGGGAAGGCTCACTGATGGAGGTGGGGGAGGGAAGGCTCACTGATGGAGGTGGGGGAGGGAAGGCTCACTGATGGAGGTGGGGGAGGGAAGGCTCACTGATGGAGGTGGGGGAGGGAAGGCTCACTGATGGAGGTGGGGGAGGGAAGGCTCACTGATGGAGGTGGGGGAGGGAAGGCTCACTGATGGAGGGGGGAGGGAAGGCTCACTGATGGAGGTGGGGGAGGGAAGGCTCACTGATGGAGGTGGGGCAGGGAAGGCTCACTGATGGAGGTGGGGCAGGGAAGGCTCACTGATGGAGGTGGGGCAGGGAAGGCTCACTGATGGAGGTGGGGCAGGGAAGGCTCACTGATGGAGGTGGGGCAGGGAAGGCTCACTGATGGAGGTGGGGCAGGGAAGGCTCACTGATGGAGGTGGGGCAGGGAAGGCTCACTGATGGAGGTGGGGCAGGGAAGGCTCACTGATGGAGGTGGGGCAGGGAAGGCTCACTGATGGAGGTGGGGCAGGGAAGGCTCACTGATGGAGGTGGGGCAGGGAAGGCTCACTGATGGAGGTGGGGCAGGGAAGGCTCACTGATGGAGGTGGGGGAGGGAAGGCTCACTGATGGAGGTGGGGGAGGGAAGGCTCACTGATGGAGGTGGGGGAGGGAAGGCTCACTGATGGAGGTGGGGGAGGGAAGGCTCACTGATGGAGGTGGGGGAGGGAAGGCTCACTGATGGAGGTGGGGAGGGAAGGGGGGGAGGGAAGGCTCACTGATGGAGGTGGGGGAGGGAAGGCTCACTGATGGAGGTGGGGGAGGGAAGGCTCACTGATGGAGGTGGGGGAGGGAAGGCTCACTGATGGAGGTGGGGGAGGGAAGGCTCACTGATGGAGGTGGGGGAGGGAAGGCTCACTGATGGAGGTGGGGGAGGGAAGGCTCACTGATGGAGGTGGGGGAGGGAAGGCTCACTGATGGAGGTGGGGGAGGGAAGGCTCACTGATGGAGGTGGGGGAGGGAAGGCTCACTGATGGAGGTGGGGGGAGGGAAGGCTCACTGATGGAGGTGGGGCAGGGAAGGCTCACTGATGGAGGTGGGGCAGGGAAGGCTCACTGATGGAGGTGGGGCAGGGAAGGCTCACTGATGGAGGTGGGGCAGGGAAGGCTCACTGATGGAGGTGGGGCAGGGAAGGCTCACTGATGGAGGTGGGGCAGGGAAGGCTCACTGATGGAGGTGGGGCAGGGAAGGCTCACTGATGGCGTTGGGGCAGGGAAGGCTCACTGATGGCGGGTGGGGCAGGGAAGGCTCACTGATGGAGGTGGGGCAGGGAAGGCTCACTGATGGAGGTGGGGCAGGGAAGGCTCATTGATGGAGGTGGGGCAGGGAAGGCTCATTGATGGAGGTGGGGCAGGGAAGGCTCATTGATGGAGGTGGGGCAGGGAAGGCTCATTGATGAAAGTGGGCAGGGAAGGCTCATTGAAGGAGCTGAGGAAGGAAAGGCTCATTGATAAAGATGGGGGTTCATTGGAGGTGGGAAGGGAAGGCTCTTTGATGAACCACAGCATGCCTTCAGAGGTCTAGTGGAGTCCATTCCTCAATGGGTTATGGTGGGTGGTCATTATGTTATGGCTGATCAGTGTATACTCTGAAAGTACAATAACTTGAGACCTATGAGCGCCATGGCAGATGACATTGAAAAAGCACCATGACTTACCTGCGAAGGTACAGGCATCTGCATCCCAGGCCGTATAACCCCAGCGCCACCCGCGTTCATACCTTCTACCTTCATTTCAAGTGCTTGTCTGCTTTGGTTCAAGAACTGTGGAGTGACAAGAAAGGCTGATGACTTCTCCGTATCTCATAGTAGGAAGACAATCCTATACAGCCATATTTCTCAATGCGTAGAAGGCAAACCATTGATTGTATATAGGATCACATTGAGAGACATAATATATTACACAGGATTTATATGGCGCCAACAGTTTGCACAGTGCTTTACAATCTAAAGGGAGATAGTACAGTTACAATACAATTCAAAACAAGGATTAGGAGGGCCCTGCTCATGGAGCGTGCGATCTAAAGGGAGGGAAAAAAGGGTACAAAAAGGCAATAGCTGTGAGGCATTGGTTGATGGAGGTGGTCAAAGTACAGTTTTTAGGTGGAGGTGGGATAGACTTCCCTGAATAGGTGAGTTTTCAGTGATCTGGGTAGGAGACAGCTGGACAGATTGAGGCAGAGGGTTCTGGGAATGTCTGTATTGTCCAGTGGACTGCCCTGCCCATGTGCACCTTTTCTTTTGCTAGTTATGACATGATCTGTGCAACTGCCATATTTGCTTTCAATCAACCAATTCCAGACCCTGCTGACACGACTTCAGATCAAGTGAATGCAAAAGGGAGCGCTGTGGAATCTGCTTTTTAAAGAGGACACCAGATTATTTATCAAGTTTCACAGCCTGGCCTGTCAATCAGGGGCGGACTGACAACTCATGGGGCCCCCGGGCAATAGGGCATCATGGGGCCCCTGTGTCCTTGCCCAAACTCAAAAAAGCCTATGAAAAAGGTATCAGGGGCATCTCATGGGGCCCCCTACTGACCCCGGGCCCTCGGGCAGTGCCTGATTTTCCAAATGGTCAGTCCGCCCCTGCTGCCAATATTTCCTGCCTGCGATTACCGGATAAGTTCCTCTTTAGGAAAAGGTGACACCTGTACTCAGGGTGAAACATGTTCCCAAGCACCCACCTCCAGAGTCCCCTCACAGTGATGGTGTGCAGGAGTTCCTCTCCCCCACATCCACGGCTGTTCGTTACTCCACTCACAAAGCCACATTGTTCGTTTAGAGCCGGTTCACATATATGTGAAATGGATGCGTTTTGAACATGCCTGACAAAGGGGTCCAAAACGTTACACCTTTCCTTTTGTGACGTGACCATTCTTCAGTATAAATAGCCTTTCGGACGACATTGGTGATCTGTGGTGTGTTGGCAAATATGAACATTAATCTATGATTGTTCCAGTTTCCAGCTGGATGTTGCTGCAGCACCCGTTACTTTTGGGCCCGATCTAGGAACGGGAATATAACAATCCTGAACTGCATCCAATTCGCATGACATGTGAACCAAAACGGTTTTCTATGGAGCCGATTCACATATGTGCGGGCCGGCCACAGTGCAATTTAAAAGGTACGATTTCAGGTACGATTTCCAGTGTTTGCACCTGAATCACACCTGAGCCACTGTACGAACATCACACTGCAAACCAGCCAGGCACAATGCGAACCCAGGCATACAGAGATCTGTGAAAGAATAAAATACCAATACAGCAGACTATGAGTGCAATAACTAGGGCACTCATAGACCATTGACACTTCCTTCAAATGGAAAGCCTGCAGGAGCCTGACATTGCACCCAGCATCCGCTAATTGCAAGGTACAATGCTTGGCAGGTTGTTACTGGGAAGTATAATAAATGCAAAAATATGTGCATTTATTATTTTTTTCCTTAAAAGAGAAGTAGGGCTCCCCCTCCCCAAGTATACTTACCTAGGTGGATGCAGTATTGGTTTGATTGCTGCATCTTTCCCCCGCCGGCTCTAAGGGTGAGAACATACATTCCCGCTGATCGCAGAGTTCTCCACTCCGCTCTAAGCAGAAAGCGGTGACCATCAGTCTCCACTGTCTGCTCTGCCACCCCAGCGCTGGCCTGTGGAGGGGGAGGAAGCGGCTGGCTCAATCTCTCAGCAGCTTGCTGACAGACTGAGCCAGGTGCCACTCCAGACTCTTGGGTGGATCCTGACTTTAAAGTCAGGATTCTTTCCCCAGCCTGGACTGGCTGAGTGACGTCCGCCAACAGCAGACTTCAGTCCGCTATCAGCTGAAAACGGGTCACAGGAGTGCAGAATGAACTGCACTGCTATGATCCACAGGAGAAGTACAGCAAAAAGAGCTTTGGCAGTACTTCTCCTTTAAAGGTGAACTTAGCCTTTAATGGTGACCTATTGTTACAGTTGTAAGGTTTCAAGCTGCCTCCACTATCTGGCAGCAGTCAATACCTACACATAGAAAAATGATGATTGGCCAATGTAAAGAACACAACCAGCCAGCATTGAGGGCTGTGAGGAATACTGGGGAGAGAGTGTCTGGATTACACACCGGAGGGGACATTCATGGAATAGGAAAGGCAGGGAAGATATACTGTATAGGAAAGGATTCCAGTGGTTGACTTTGTAACTACAAATAAACTACACAGCAGCCTCTAAGTAAATGATACACCTTGTCTGGGAACATCTCACTATAGATTCTGACTGGAATGGGAACACTGCTGATATAAATGGAAAATACTAATAAACGGAGCTGTGAACAAAATAGATATAGACCTCTACCTAGTGGTGAATGATGTTGTATGCCCATCATGGTTCTCTGACATGTTCAATGAATAGACACAGGCGTGGTGCAGTCCCGGTGTTCATGCTCACCTGCTGGCCTTGGAGCCTCTGTTGTAGCTGCATCCTCAGCTGTTTGGGGATATTGGTTCGGGGCCTCATGAGACTGGCCCTGGGGTGCATTCCTTGCATCGGGAAATTTCCTTGCTGCTGGCTCATCTGGCTCATCATAGAGTTGAACGGAGGGTGCTGACCCTGCATGCTACTGAAGCCCCCAGCCTGCATGGCGGACCCCTGTCCTGCATACGGCTGTCCATACATTGGGGGCTTCTGGTCTATCAGCACCGAGGAGTCTTGTGGCTGGAAGGCATCTGGTTGGGGGTCTATAGCCTGGCCCTGTGTAAGAAAAGAAAGACTTTGTAGGTAGGAGGTGGGGGATTTAATCATATAAAATTTGTGTTCACATATAAAGGAACTTAACATGGCTTTGACCATAGAACAAGTAGGTAGCAACAAGGGAGTGCACAATCAGCCAAGTGTTTTATTGCCCCGAGAGCTCTGGAGGAGCGGTAAATGAAAGCTGGGACACCTAGAGATAGTCGAAAGAAAGCTGGCCACTCATGCTACAATTGGGCTGCTCAAATAACAAACTTGGATGACGAGGACAGAAACTCCGACATGCAGGAGGTTCTCTTACATACAATTAATGAAAAATTCAAGAAAAAGCTTTTCCCGTGCCTCTTTGAATTACTTTCAGTTTTTTTTTATTGTGGGTGCGACAATCCTGACAATCCAACTGCCAATCACCCGTGTGTAATGAGGCCGCCCTCTCACTACTCATACGTAAACTCCTCAGCTATGCATTATTATTCAGGTTCACACATGCATCGACCTGGTACTAGTTTCTCTTTAGTTGGTCTTCCCAACGGCCCCTACAACGCCTCACTATACAGCGGTGCTATGGAGGCTGGTAAATAGAACCACATCCCTCAGTAAGGGACCTGATATGTCGAGAACTGTATCAGATATAGAAGATTCTTTGAAAAGACGAGAACGGAAAGCGCACCAGCCTTGCCATTACTTTTGTGATACCATTTATTGAAGTAATAAAACAGATGTATGCTCACAAACAGCATAAAATGTTAAAGCGGAGCTCCTGTCTCCGGTGAAAAAAATGTAAAAAGTCAGCAGCTACAAAAACTGTACCTGCTGATTTTTTGAAAAAACAGCCACTCACCTGTCTTAGGATCAAGTGTCCTCACCACAGCCGGGTTCACCGGCAGTCCTGTGTCCCCCGCGCTGGCATCTTAAATGTGGGCAACCTGTCACAGTTGGGTGTCCACTGTGCATGCGCAAGTGGTGCTGTAGATTGTAAATGGTCCCCCAGTCCTCAGGGACCTGCCATGTGTTCTAAAAGACTGCAGAGGGAGAACTTCTGCTTCCAATCGCCTGTCAAAATCGGGTACCCGCTCCCCAAAAGGTGTCAATCCTTAACAGGGAGTAGGGGATGAGGCCTTAAAGCAGAACTTCCCCTTTTGGATGGAGTTCTTCTTTAAAGCACATCAATATCCATTGTGTCCTGCATGATGTGGTCTGCTGCGTAAGTCCCAAGCATGAGCAGACACTCAAAATATCAGACGCATTCCAAGTGGAGGTCCCTTCTTTCGGGTGTCTTCTTGTAGTTAGGACTCGCACGGTGGACCAGATCATGAAGGACACTGTGGACAACCACTTTAATTTTTGAAAGTACAGATTTTAGTCACAAAAGAACCCACCAACAATATTGCAACATCCCATTGCTCAGTCTGAAGATGCAGACTTGGGATACCTGAGCAGGAATGTACGCACACACGCACACACACAAATAGGCCCCCACAACTGCCAAGCTGCATATTTGTTGCAGCTACTGACTCAATGAATAGTTGACCTCTTGCTGAACGCTCTGTAGCAGTTTTACTGCTACAGGATGGCTACCCTGCACAAAATCACGTATATATACCTGATTTAGCATTTCCGGGTAGGGGGCACGTGCGCTGTCCTACCCACACTGTCATTGGCTCCTAAGGGTGTTAATCACCGGGCCCCGGCCCGCGAGTCCTGGCTGGGACTCGGTGATTGGTGGAGCAGCTCACAGGGGAGAGATTTGTGAGTGCTGGTTTGTATCTCCCTGCAAAGCATGTCCCCTAGTAAAACACCACAAAGTACACATTAATAACACTCCCTACACACACAGTTATCCCTTTGATCACCCCAGATGTTAACCCCTTCCTGCCCAGTGTCAGTACTTTTTATTAGCACTGATCACTGTATTAGTGTCACTGGAGATATCAGTGGCAGTTAGTCCCCGCCCAGTGTCAGTGTCAAGATTTCCCGTCTCACTATCGCAGTCCCGCCATAAGTCACTGATCGCCACCTTTACTGGTATAAAAAAAAAAAAAAAATAATACGGTCCTTTGTAAACGCTATAACTTTCACGCAAACCAATATACACTCATTGGGATTTTTTTTTCCCCCCAAAGACATGTAGCAGAATACATTTTGGCCTAAACTTATGAAAAAATGTATTTTTTTTTTATTGGATAGGTTTTATGGCAAAAAGTATCTTCCATTTTACTTGAGGTGATTGTAGCCGTATTAGTGCACTTGCGACAGAAACAATTCAGTACTGTCCGTGATACTTTTTTTTATTTGCACTAACATACAATTTTGAGGATAAGCTTTTGAGGAGTGTCCCCTTCTTCAAGGTCCAAGCAGTACCATTACAAAGTTTTAGCAGAATGTTAAAAGATATGTGGGGATTGAGAAAAAAAAAAAAAAAGCAGAAAAACACAAGCCTAGGGTTAACCTAGAGATAAGAAAAGTAAAGCAAATTCTATTTGACACAAGAGATAACGGCCTTAATTTGGACATGGGATTCCTCAATCATTATCCAACATATTTATGACTCCTTAAGTGAGTGCTGTTCCCCCCCCCCCCCCCCCAGTCTTTGCTTTGCTGTTCTTACCGCTTGGATAACCCTAGGCTTGTGTTTCTTTCTGCTTTTTTTTTTTCTCAATCCCCACATATCTTCTAACATTCTGCTAAAACTTTGTAACAGTACTGCTTGGACCTTGAAGAAGGGGACACTCCCCGAAAGCTTGTCCTCAAAATTGTATGTTAGTGCAAATAAAAAAGTATCACAGACAGTACTGAATTGTTTCTATGGCAAAAAGTAAAAGTTATTGGGTTTTTTTTAAATTGTTGGACTTTTTTTTCCCCGTAATTTATATCGTGCAAAAAAAAAAAAAAAAAAAAAAAAAAAAAAAAAACCAGTAGTGATCAAATTCCACCAAAAGAAAGCTCTATTTAAGTGAAATAAAATTATATAAATTTCATTTGTGTACAGTGTTGCATGACTGCACAATTGTCAGTTAAAGTAGCGCAGCGCCGTATAGCAACAAATGCCATGGTCATATAGGGGGAGTAAACCTTCCAGAGGGCAAGTGGTCAAATAAAGGAAAAGGATGACATCCTCCAATCGAGGGTCTCTCTCTTTTTCTCTACAGACTACAAACACAGGTCTGGAAAACCGCTCTCTGCTCCTACACACAAATACCTGGTTGACAAGCTCAGGGATCCCCAGGGCCCGATCTATTTCCTCCAAGCCAGTGGGATCTGTATTGCTGAGAAGGGTGTGGAGTTGGTCCAGGAGAGCGATCTCGTCAGTCTGCCCCTCCACGGTTGATGGAGGACAAAGGAGATCATCCAGAGAAGCCCTTCCAAGCTGCCTGGAAGACGTAGGTGGCAGAGAGATCCTGTGGGGTGTGAAGACAGACGTCCATGAAGTCACAATGACTGACACTACAAGCACAGAATGACTCAAGGGACTTTTGGTATTGATATTTCCAGAAGATGCCTCACCTGTTCTGAGATCCATTCGGCCCCTGCTCCATGGCCATCATACTGTCAGGCCAAGACCCCGCAGGATTTGAAGGTGCTTGCTGACCATAGGGGCTGGAACCCAAGCCCATCGCCATTTCATTAGGCCCTAAGAAGTAAAAGGACTCATTATATAGTTATCTATGTACTTCTCATTCTTCAATAACCTTCTTCACGGATATATTGGTTGACTGCTTTGTAGACCAGGTTCCCCTATCATATTCATTTTTAACACCTCATCTCCATATAAATTCAATTAAAGATAATAACTATCCAAAGAGCCATCCCATATCTCTATTATTTTCCAGGAACTGGTTAACCAATTTATTTTCGGCATGATGTACAAATGTCGACATTGAAAAGACTCAGTTCCCATTCAGGGCAAAGTGACACATTTTCTTGAAAGCTCACCCCCTACCCACTTATAACCACTCCATTCATCCAAAATATACCTGGGGCTTCTAGGTATATTAGAGCATTGGACCTTCCTCCCAGGATGCAATGCTCTGGCCTGAGTTGCCAATCGGTGAAGGAAGGGAGGCACTAAACCTTGTACAAGCTCTGACACGGAGCTTGCATGGGGTTTAGATTCATAGCTCCGATGGAAGAAATGAGCGGTAAGGGAGCTGGGTAAAACTGAACATAAGTGGGCATTTCAAGAGAACCTGTCACTTTTATATTTACATGCATATTAAAAAAAAAAACCTTTATTTTAGTACTGTTCTGGCCACCAATAAAGTGGGCATCCTCTGTGTCTGGGTGGTTGTCGGGGGTCACAGACGACCTTCTGATTAATTTTCTAACCAGCTGTACTGACGAGAAAAGGTGAAGCTAGTTAGTGGTTTGGAGGTAAAATAAGATCTTTGTACTAGACATGTGCAGTTCGTTTCGTTCCGAATCGAAATTGGCCTAAAATTTTCGCTATAAGGAGATTCGGATGTATCCGAATTATAATCGTAATGAAATTTAAATGAATCCTAAACAATGAAACAAAGTTTCGTCTGAAATAACAAATTATATGACATCGAATCAAATAGGAAACTAATTTAAAAAGGTAATCGAAAATAAATTAAAAATGTTAACTTATTGCTGATTTCCTTCAAAGACTGTGTGTATTAGTGTTAAAATACATCGGTCTTCAAAAAGAATAGAATAGAACATATAATAGAAAACAATAGAATAAAATGAAATAAAAAGAATATAGCCGTTTTCCAGAATTCAAATATAATGGAATAGATTGAAAAAGAAAGAATATAGCAGTCTTTCAAAATTTGAATTTCGGAAGACAGCTATATTCTATTCAAAAAGAGTAGAACAGAATAAAGCAAAATGGAAAAGAATAGAATAAAATAGTAAAGAATAGAACAAAAAGAATAGACTAGAAAAAAAATAGAAAGAATATAGCGGTCTTCCGAAATTTGAATTTTAAATAGAATAAAACCATCTTTTCTTCACAATGAATTCTGATTGATCTGGATACTTTCGATTCAAGTTCGATGTAAATACTTTGAATCCACTGGAAAAAAATCAAATTCGGTCGAAAACTAATAAACAAAACTACACAAAATTTTGGTGCAAATGCAACAAAACAAAATTAGTAACAACAAATCGATCAGAAATCATTCTGCACATGTCTATACTCAACGTAAAATCTGTTTCTCTGAGGCCACTGAGGAACACAATTTGATGGTAATAAGCACCCTGGCGTTATACTGCCGCCCACAGGAGAAATGGTCACTAGGCAGACAATGAATGGCCAGCCCCCTTGAGGCTACAAAACCTCACAAACACATCAGTTGTAGCAAGCAGTCCAAAAATGAGAAGAGGACAATATCATATAAGGGAAGGGAGCTGTGTCCCTGAATGGACTTATTTTCTCTATTATCCATTGAGGGATACAGCTTGATGATAAATGAGCAACCTAGGGACATCCAAAAGTAGTTCAAGCTGGGGGCAGGGAACCCTCACACGCAGACGAAACAACCCAACAAGTAAAAAATAAGGAAAACGAAGCAGCTTGCAGAACATTTCCACCAAAAGCAGCATCGAACCTTTAAACCTATTTCTTGAAGACCAGGTTGCAGCCTTACAAATCAATGACACCACAATTTCATTGCCCTAGCACAGTGGTCTTTAACAGGAAAAGGAGGCACTTCAGAGGCCCACAAACCTGTAGAATCCACTTGGAGATGGCAGATCTGGAACCTGGAGAAAAACTCTTAAGACCTTATTGAAAGAAAAAATGGAATCCGTCTCTCATGGAGCTCCACTGGAAAGACCGATGCCAGGATTGTAGTTGCCAAACCCGATTCTGTAATCTTTGTCAACATGTTCTAGAGCAGGAAAGACCTTGGACTGAAACTTTTCCAGGAGAAGGCTCAAGTATTCCAAGCGACGAAACAGAATCAGGGATGACATCTGAAAGCTCAGGATCCATCCGAAGTCCTCCAACGTCCACACAGTGAAGGATATAAAGAGCCCAAGGTCAGAGAGGGCTCTTCACAGCAACAGATTGGGTCTGAGATGAAATACACCCAGTACTGGTGGCAAGGATCTTCGTGAATACGGAAAGGTGGATGGGCCACAAACTTAGTGTTTAACATCCATAGCAAAGATCCCCAGATAAACTGTCCCTACCTGAAAACCGGAGTCCCGTGATAACTAAAACATAGCTGGGTTGTCATTGAGGACTACTGGACCATCATAGACAGAACACCAGTATACGTAATGTACTGGGAAAACTGGCACTCATTGGCTAACTTGATAACTCCGTAAGGAATCCCCAGATAAATGGTCTCTACCTGAAAAGAAAAGTCCCGTGATAACTGAAACATAGCTTGGGTTGTCACAGTAGGACCACTGGACCATCATAGACAGAACACCAGAATAAGTAATGTACTGGGAAAACCGGAACTCCTTAGCTAACTGGAGAGATGTCAAAGATTTTCAATATCCATCCCGAATTTACCAGTAGCTGTTGGTAGAAAAATAAAAATCTTCCAATTCAAACTATATAAAAGGAGATGGGAAAGAACATCCATTTTTTTTAGGACACTAAGCAAAACAGAGAGGTGGGAGGGGTTATATTCTTAAGGCCCCTTTCAGATGGGATGGACCTATCAGCAGGGGTTCTCTCTGCTGGTGGATGACAGGTTTGTGTCCGATCCACTGCTGCAGATCGGACACAGACACTGCTTGCTGACTTCTATGGGGTAGTCAGATGGAAACGGACCGCTTGTCCATTTCCACCCAACTGTCATCCGATCCATCTGTTTTTTGGCGTTCAAGATCGGATCAGATGCTGGAGGGTGAAAGCGGACAAGTCAGCCGGTCTATAGATGGTCCAGTTCGGTCAGACAGACCATATAGGACCCTCAGTGTAAAAGGGAACTAAGAGGGGTGGCCTTCAGTTTTTATCGGTGTCTCCTGTAGGTGGCAGAATAACTCTAGGTTTCCTATTATGAGCTAGGTCCCTCAATGGACAATAGAGAAACAAACATTGCTGCCTTCAGATCTTAGGTACATGAAGACAAAAATCCTTGTTTGATGGAATTTCCAGGTCACCCTATACATCTCAGACACATACTCATGGACATCATCTGCTGTGGCAGCACCGGCCGGTTTCCTGGCATGCTGTTGGATCTTCCTGGAAGTCCCGGCATACTTGCGCTCATAGCAGGTCTCGGCATGGCGGCATTATATTCCGGTCCTTGTCTCCCTACCGGCCCCGTGCTGGAGGGTTCCATCTGGTTGACAGCAGAGTTCTGCATGGCCCAGTCTCCGCCCGGGTGTTGGCTCATCCCCCTGTTGGCTCCGTTCCCTACAGGGACCAGAAATACAGCAAAAGACGATCATTATAGGACAAGGGAGCTTCAAGCACACGATCTTCAGAAAACACACAACAATCTCCATACAGGAATCAATGACGGTACCTGCGCTGCCACCCTAGTGTCAGTTTATGTGAAAAGCATCTGAATCAGAGGCTACAACCAAGATAGAGAAACACAAACTCCAGATAATTACACATTATGGAGGACAGAAATGATTGTTCAGAGCGAAAAGAGAGGTCGTACCCAGCATCACAAAATTTTCCTGGCCGTCTATCATCCTTGGACTTCCCATCATGCTCTGCTTTGGCATCATTGGAAAATTACTGACATTCCGGACCGGAGGGGTGGAGTTACCAGGCATAGTGCTGTCCAACGACATGGCTCGATTGAAGGGCGGCCGATTCACCTGAACATTCTGAGGGCTCCTCATACCTGGAAAGTATGGAATATTTTACAGAAATCAGCAACAGAACGTCAGAAATAACACTGAACAATAGGATTCGGCTCAACATTTTATCATGAAGCAGAAGCTCTGTCAGATGTTCGTTGCCAGACACTGATCACTACTTTAGGGCGAGTGTGTTTTTCTGCCGGCCACCTTGTCGGATAAAGTGGCTCGAATAGCTGAAGGTTTTTAACATTCATGCATTCTATGCATGAAGGTAAAAAACATTCTTTGTGCAGCTCCAACCACCACCCCCCACGCAGCACCTGCCTAATACTTACCTGATCCCAATCCAGCAATGTGCACGAGAGCCGAGGCTCTCCTTGGTCTCTCCCTCCTCATTGACTGAGACACAGCAGTGGGAGCCATTGGCTCCAGCTGCTTTCAATCACAACCAATGAGAAGGAAACAGGGGGAAGGGCTGAGCTATGCTCTGTGTGTCCCATAGAGGGCGGCTCAGGAGCGAGCATGCGGCTTGCTCTGGGGGGCAGTCAACAGGAAGGAGGAGCCAATAGCATCGGCGGGAACCCCAGAAGAGGAGGATTGGGGCTGATCTGGGTGTCAGTCAGCAGGGAGGAGCCAATAGCGCCGGCGGGGAACCCCAAAAGAGGAGGATCGGGTCTGATCTGGGTGGCAGTCAGCAGGAAGGAGGAGCCAATAGCGCTGGCGGGGAACCCCAGAAGAGGAGGATCGGGGCTGATCTGGGGGGCAGTCAGCAGGGAGGAGCCAATAGCGCCGGCGGGGAACCCCAAAAGAGGAGGATCGGGTCTGATCTGGGTGGCAGTCAGCAGGAAGGAGGAGCCAATAGCGCTGCGCGGGAACCCCAGAAGAGGAGGATCGGGGCTGATCTGGGGGGCAGTCAGCAGGGAGGAGCCAATAGCGCCGGCGGGGAACCCCAAAAGAGGAGGATCGGGGCTGATCTGGGGGGCAGTCAGCAGGAAGAGGAGCCAATAGAGCTGGCGGGGAACCCAAGAAGAGGAGGATCTGATCTGGGGGGCAGTCAGCAGGAAGGAGGAGCCAATAGTGCCGGTGGGGGAACCCCAGAAGTGGAGGATCGGGGCTGATCTGGGTGGCAGTCAGCAGGAAGGAAAAGCCAATAGCGCCGGCGGGGAACCCCAGAAGAGGAGGATCGGGGCTGATCTGGGGGGCAGTCAGCAGGAAGGAGGAGACAATAGAGCCGGCGGGAAACCCCAAAAGAGGAGGATCGGGGCTGATCGTGCAAAATCATTACACAGAGCAGCCATTTGCTCCTGCTGCGTTCAATCACAGCCAGTGAGGAGGAAACAAGGGGCAGGGCTGAGCTATGCTCAGTGTCTCCCATAGAGGTGGCTCAGAAAGGAGAATGCGGCTTGCTCTGGGGGGCAGTCAGCAGGAGCCAATAGCACCGGGTGGGGAACCTCAGAAGAGGAGGATCGGGGCTGATCTGTGGAAAACCATTACACAGAGCAGGTAAGTATGACACGTTTTGTCATACTTACCTGCTGAACCTTTATACCCACTTTAACAGGACTGTTTTCAGTAGCCAGGTCACAGCAAGTTCACAGACAACACAATATAACAGATGACAGGGGGAGAAGGGCCATGCTCACCCATGGGGGGCGTGTCTGGGAACACCGGCGTTTTAGCTCTCATGTTTCCCGTACCGGAGCTCATGGATTAGTGTAGAAGTCTGAGCCTGCGAGGTCACCGAGAATTGCGTCCAAGTTGTCCAAGTCGCCGGTCACCTGAAAGCAAAGAAATAAATAGTTGATCAGAGCCAGACCCTCCAGTAAGACATTACTATATATAAACTATGTTGTATGCAGAATACAAGACCGCGAAATGAAGGATAAATAACTGATTGGAAAGATTGGATGACTGTATCACAAACATTTAGAGAAAAAAAGGCTACTTATATTTAGTAGTAATATTGTGGGGTCAATTTACTAAAACTGGAGAGTGCAGAATCTGGTGCAGCGGTGCATGGCAGCCAATCAGCTTCTAATTTCAGCTTGTTCAATCAAAGTGTTACTAAACCCACAACACTAAAATCAGTCTGTATATGCAATAAAGCATGCTTGTTATACTCACTGTGGAACCTAAGGGGTTAATCCTCTGCATTGTGTAATAGTTTGATCCTGTCTTCTCTGATCCTCCCCTTCTATTGTCCCAATCCATCTGCTGATAAAACAGAGCTCTAGGAGGCACTCTGCGCATACTCAGTTTGGTGTGTATTGCTAGAGAGTTGTTTTTGGGGGGGAAGGGGGGGAAGGGGGGAAATCAGGGAGGCATTGATCAGCACAGAGCCAATCAGGAATGTCCAACCAAACAGTGGGTCAGGGGTCCGGCAGCCTTATAGGACAGTCATTGCAGAATGTAAACGCCTATTACGAACAATAACCAGTGCTCTGCTGGACACTGATAGAAGTCACAAGACTGCTATATACTGCTGATGAGAAAAGGTATTTAGTAGTTTATATTTCTTAAATAATTGGATTTCCATGTTGTGTGTACTGTTGGAGACCAGATATAGCAAATGCGGGGTCCGGGGAGAGCAGATATAGCGAATGCGGGGTCCGGGGAGAGCAATATTAGCGAATGCGGGGTCCGGGGAGAGCGGATATAGTGAATGCGGGGTCCGGGGAGAGCGGATATAGTGAATGCGGGGTCCGGGGAGAGCGATATAGTGAATGCGGGTCCGGGGAGAGCGGATATAGTGAATGCGGGGTCCGGGGAGAGCGGATATAGTGAATGCGGGGTCCGGGGAGAGCGGATATAGTGAATGCGGGGTCCGGGGAGAGCGGATATAGTGAATGCGGGGTCCGGGGAGAGCGGATATAGTGAATGCGGGGTCCGGGGAGAGCGGATATAGTGAATGCGGGGTCCGGGGCGGGAATGCGGGGTCCGGGAGAGCGGATATAGTGAATGCGGGGTCCGGGGAGAGCGGATATAGTGAATGCGGGGTCCGGATATAGTGAATGCGGGGTCCGGGGAGAGCCGGATATAGAGCGGATATTAGTGAATGCGGGGTCCGGGGAGAGCGGATATAGTGAATGCGGGGTCCGGGGAGAGCGGATATAGTGAAATGCGGGGTCCGGGGAGAGCGGATATAGTGAATGCGGGGTCCGGGGAGAGCGGATATAGTGAATGCGGGGTCCGGGGAGAGCGGATATAGTGAATGCGGGGTCCGGGGAGAGCGGATATAGTGAATGCGGGGTCCGGGGAGAGCGGATATAGTGAATGCGGGGTCCGGGGAGAGCGGATATAGTGAATGCGGGGTCCGGGGAGAGCGATATAGTGAATGCGGGTCCGGGAGAGCGGATATAGTGAATGCGGGGGTCCGGGAGAGCGGATATAGTGAATGCGGGGTCCGGGGAGAGCGGATATAGTGAATGCGGGGTCCGGGGAGAGCGGATATAGTGAATGCGGGGTCCGGGGAGAGCGGATATAGTGAATGCGGGGTCCGGGGAGAGCGGATATAGTGAATGCGGGGTCCGGGAGAGCGAGGGGTCCGGGGAGAGCGGATATAGTGAATGCGGGGTCCGGGGAGAGCGGATATAGTGAATGCGGGGTCCGGGGAGAGCGGATATAGTGAATGCGGGGTCCGGGGAGAGCGGATATAGTGAATGCGGGGTCCGGGGAGAGCGGATATAGTGAATGCGGGGTCCGGGGAGAGCGGATATAGTGAATGCGGGGTCCGGGGAGAGCGGATTAGTGAATGCGGGGTCCGGGGAGAGCGGATATAGTGAATGTGGGGTCCTGGATTTAGGAACACATTAAAGCTTTAATAAGAAAACCTGGAAGCCAATTGTTCTTTTATGCAGAGTTGCACCAGATTTTGCACTCTCCAGTTTTAGTAAATTACAATATGCAGTCAATATTTATACACTTTATGTGACAGCCTGCCTCGAACCCCTTATACCCCATATCAGCTCCGTGTTTGCTGGTGTTTGCGCTTACACAGGGCTGAAGACTAGGCCAGGCTCAGGTATTTAGCCCAGGGACTGCATCCTGAAAGGTTACATGATCCCCAAATCCAGAAGCATTGGGTATTTAGTGGCGGCTCTAGGGGAATAACAAAGAGGCAAAGAGGCAGGGTGGGGAGCTTGCAGCCAGGGCAAGTTTATGTGGGTCTGGTTGGGGATTTGAAGTGGAGGTCATATATTCTGCCAAATGCATTAGCAGTGGTTATTTTGCAGAGGCTCTAACACAGGGGTCCACAAACTTTCTAAGCAAAGGGCTAGTTTACAGTTTAACAGACTGTAGGGGGGCTTGTTGGTGTGAGTCGAAAATTCACTTTCGTCAATAGGAGTAAACAATGCCCCATCACTGGTGTCAGTGGGAGGAATAGTGCCTCATCATTGATATCAGTGGAATAGTGCCCCATCATTGGTATCAGTGGGAGGAATAGTGCCCCATCATTGGTATCAGTGGGAGGAATAGTGCCCCATCATTGGTGTCAGTGGGAGGAATAGTGCCCCATCATTGGTATCAGTGGGGAGGAATAGTGCCCCATCATTGGTGTCAGTGGGAGGAATAGTGCCCCATCATTGGTGTCAGTGGGAGGAATAGTGCCCCATCATTGGTGTCAGTGGGAGGAATAGTGCCCCATCATTGGTGTCAGTGGGAGAATAGTGCCCCATCATTGGTGTCAGTGGGAGGAATAGTGCCCCATCATTGGTGTCAGTGGGAGGAATAGTGCCCCATCATTGGTGTCAGTGGGAGGAATAGTGCCCCATCATTGGTGTCAGTGGGAGGAATAGTGCCCCATCATTGGTGTCAGTGGGAGGAATAGTGCCCCATCATTGGTGTCAGTGGGAGGAATAGTGCCCCATCATTGGTGTCAGTGGGAGAAATAGTGCCCCATCATTGTTATCAGGAGAAGGAATTATGCCTCATCATTGGTGTCAGTGGAAAGATTTGTGCCCCCTTGTTGGCGCTGGAAGTGATAGTAACCCAAGGGCCGGATATAGGCAGGCAAAGGGCTGCTTCCAGCCCCTGGGCCACAGTTTGGAGACCACTCTAAGAGAATAACAAAGAGGCAGGGTGGGAAGGTTCCAGCAATGGTGGGTTTATGTGGGTCTGGTCTGGGATTTGACGAGAAAAGGTTGTTGAGGTTACATGGTCCCCCAAATCCAGAACCATTGGGTATATGAGAATAACACGGAGGTGGGGAGGTTGCAGCAAGGGTTTTCTGGTTAGGGCTTTTTAGAGACTCTGCCAGGTTGCCCATTCAGAGACTCTAAAACAGGACAGTTTGAAGGGATAAAGCTGGCATGAAAAATGCAGATTTCAATGGTTACCTCCTCAGTGGGCTCACTCTTTATCTTCATGTCCTTGTCCTGGCTGGAGGTGGAAACAGAGGAACTGCTGCACTGGCCCAGTTTGCTGTCCATGGGTTCTACTTTGGGTTTAATGTCCTTGGTTATCTGATCCTTGCCCTCGTCCTTGTCCAGCAGGTATCGCAGGAGCGCATTGTTCTCCTTCTTCTTAGGGCTCATTTGTTCCTGCTTCACCGTTGGCTCTGCACAAGGGGCAGAGCTGACTGACTCCTGGAAATTGTCCTTGCCGGTGGCTTCCGCAGTGATCTTGGCAACCTCTGCGGGGGAATTGCCGTTCTGTAACAACTTGTGAAGGATGCGGTGCTTCTCCTGCAGCATGGAGCCATGCAGATTCGATGTGGAGCTGACGCCAGTGGAAGTAGAGGAGGACACACTGGAGGGGCTGGTGACGTTGCTGGAGGAGTCTTTACAGCCAGAGTCCATGGAAGAGTTGGTCATGGTACTGTGACCACGCTCCTCGGTAGGACACGTCAACAACTGCAGGAGTTTCTTGTGGCCCTTACTTTCTACTTGTGCCCGCTGGCTGTCGGGGCCTTCAACAATATTCTCCTTACTGTCCTTCTCCCCCAGGTGCTCCCTCCCGCTGGACTGACAGACAGAACTCTCCACTTGTCCCTGTTCACAAAACAACCCCGCCGGACTCTTACACTCCGGGGGCATTTTAGATTGCTGTCCCATGTTCATAATAGGGGCGTTCTCAGTTTTTTGACCCGGCGAGGACAATGATGACAAAAGAGAACTGCCAACGCCTTCGCTAATTGCATGAAGGGCACTGAGCGAGCTGCTCGAAAAACTCCCTCCTCCCGCGTTGCCAGATGACCCCATTGGGGAGTTCATTCCTGCAAGAAGACACAAAATGGTAACAGAAACATAGAAAAGTGGCGGCAGAAAAAGACCGAGTGGACCATCGAGTCTGCCCGGTTTTTTTTTTTTTTGCGTTTTTATTTTATTTATTTTTTTTGGTTAACTTGAGTTTAGGTCTATGCTTGTCCCAAGCATGTTTGAAGCTATTTACTGTTGACTGGCTCATTACCTCTGCTAGACGTTTATTCCAAGCGTCAACTACTCGAATCAGTGCAGTAATCGATCCAGACAAAGAGAAACCAGCTTAGTCCATGCGCAACCAAAACACATTGGGGTTGATTTAATCAAACTGGAGGGTGCAAAATCTGGAGCAGCTGTGCATAGAAACCAATCAGCTTCCAGGTTTTACTGTTAAAACTTAACTGAACAAGCAGAAGTTAGAAGCTGATTGGCTGCCATGCACAGATCCTGAGTGCTCCAGTTTCAGCAAATCAACCCCAATGATCAATAAAGCTCTTCTTGACGAAAAGCCAGTTCCACATTTTTTTCCCGCAATTTTTCTTTTTTGCAGCATATCTTGCATGTGAAGGAACGAATTGGATTTTCTCTATCACAGGATAATGCTTGCTTCATGATGGCCTATGAAATATAGACTAGAAACTGGATGAACATCTGAAAATTTCCAACAAGGATTCAAACGGCTGATGGGTTTCTGTCACTGTACCTGTGAGGGAGATTTCCCCCTTCCTTGCGGTCATAATGACCAATAAGTAGAACTGCGGCCAGGCAATGAAATCCATTAAGTAGCTATTTCTTAGCAAACAGTAAAAATGCTTTAGATCAAGCACTCATAGACCTCTCTAACTGCAGGCAGCATGGAGTAATTAATCCTCAAAGTTCGGTGAAAAAAATGTTGTTACTGTACTTCAAATTTGTGTAGATTGCTTTGCTCCCCACCTCCCCCTCCTAGAAGCAATTTGGAAACCTGCTGGTCTTCCACACAGGAGGAGAGAACAAAATGCCGAGACCGGATTTGAATGACTTCACTAAATATATTGTGAGGTTTGAGGATGAATTGTTCCACGGTGGCTGAAGAAGCAAAGGTCAGTGAGGGCTTCTTTTAAAGCTCATTTATGCTAGTTAAGGATGTGTAAGTACTTTAAAGTAGAAATGTGTTTGGACTATAGGCATTAAAGGACTGGCAGTGATGCCTTGCGACGCTCAGACCAGGAACTCCCATTTTAAATGACCACCCTTTGAATGACAAAGGAGGGATCTAACTCACCAAATATCAGAGTCCAAGGTAATATAATGATAAAATAGATTCATAGCACAATATGTTCAATGCGTTTCAGGGGCCAGAAATACCTCCTCTCTCTCAAACTAGTTTGACTAGCTTGGGAAAAAGGACGGGATTTCCTGTTTGTGCCAGGCTCTCTTTGGGGCTCTGTCTACTGAGCACCAACAAGACACAGCCCTGATGAAGGAGGAGTGTGTTTGACCCCTGAAATGCGATCGATCTTTTCTGCTATGAATCAATTTCATCATTAAATTACCTTGGATTCTTGGATGTCTGTTTGCTGCTCTCATTGTATTGTACACTCATCAACCTGCAATCCAATTCTGAATATTGGATATACACTCACTGGCCACCTTATGAGATACACCTTGCTAGTGCCAAGAAAATCTCCCCCACACCATTACACCATCAGCCTGAACCTTTGATACAAGGCAGGAGGGATCCACCACACCATTACACCACCAAACACCAGCCTGAACCTCTGATACAAGGCAGGAGGATCAGGATGGATCCACCACACCATGACACCACCACCACCAGCCTGAACCTTTGATACAAGGCAGGATGGATCCACCACACCATGACACCACCACCACCAGCCTGAACCATTGATACAAGGCAGGATGGATCCACCACACCATGACACCACCACCACCAGCCTGAACCTTTGATACAAGGCAGGATGGATCCACCACACCATTACACCACCTGATACAAGGCAGGAGGGATCCACCACACCATGACACCACCAACCACCAGCCTGAACCTTTGATACAAGGCAGGAGGGATCCACCACACCATGATACCCACCACCCCAGCCTGAACCTTTGATACAAGGCAGGATGGATCCACCACACCATGACACCACCACCAGCCTGAACCTTTGATACAAGGCAGGAGGGATCCACCACACCATGATACACCACCACCCAGCCTGAACCAAGGCAGGATGATACAAGGCAGATAGGGATCCACCACACCATGATACCACCACCACCAGCCTGAACCTTTGATACAAGGCAGGATGGATCCACCACACACCATGACACAAGGCACCACCACCACCAGCCTGAACCGTTGATACAAGGCAGGATGGATTCACCACACCATTACACCACACCACCACCACGAAAATCACCAGCCTGAACACCAGCCTGAACCTTGATACAAGGCAGGAGGGATCCACCACACCATGACACCACCACCACCAGCCTGAACCTCTGATACAAGGCAGGAGGGATCCACCACACCATGACACCACCACCACCAGCCTGATACAAGGCAGGAGGGATCCACCACACCATGAACCATTGATAAAAAGCAGGATGGACCACCACCACCACCACCACCACCAGCCTGAACCTTTGATACAAGGCAGGATGATTCACAAGGCAGAGACAAGGCAGGATCCACCACACCATGATACACCACCACCACCAGCCTGAACCTCTGATACAAGGCAGGAGGGATCCACCACACCATGACACCACCACCACCAGATTGAACCATTGATACAAGGCAAGATGGATCCACCACACCATGACACCACCAGCCTGAACCTTTGATACAAGGCAGGAGGGATCCATGCTTTCATGTTGCTTACACCAAGTTCTAACCCCACAATCTGAATGTTGGAGCTGAACCAGTCTGCCCATTCTCCTCTGAACTCTGACATCAACAAGGCATTTTAATCCACCCAACTTTCTCTTTTTTGGACCATTCTTTGTAAACCCTAGAGATGGTTGTTCATCAAAATCCCAGTAGATCAGCAGTTTCTAAAATACTCAGACCAGCACATCTGACACCAACCATGCCGATCAAAAAGTCACTTAAATCCCCTTTCTTCCCCATTCTGATGCTCAAATTGAACTTTAGCAAGTCGTCTTCACCACGTCTAGATTCCCAAATGCATTGAGTTGCTGCCATGTGATTGGCTGATTAGCAAATTGTGTTACCAAGCAACTAAACAGATATACCTAATAAAGTGGCCGCTGAGTGTATTTGTGTGGATTCTGAACTCTGAGTCTTTTTCCTGAGAGTTCAGATCCCTGTTTTATGCTGCAGAACTACAGTGCCCAGTGAAAATGTTAATCTAGTGCCCTGTTTTTTCTTCTTATACGAAGGGTCGAAGGCACAGAAAAACAGCTGCTACCAGACTGAACTTTAGCTGATAACCCCAATAGATTAAAAAAAAAAAAAAGAAGTAGGTGGCCTACATTGTGTAAAAGTTATAAGGTGGGACAGGCTGGAATTTTTTGCATGTTGTTAACAAAAGAATTTGTATGCATGTTGTGGGCAAGAATGTAGGTTAATCATACATAAACAGAGGATGGGAAGGCTCCTGATTTCACGGGGTTGTGACACAACCAATAAAACTGCACAGAGATGTTCGGAACAGGCTGTCTGATCAGAAGGCAGAAAGGTCCTTGACCTCACAAAACTCCGTTGTAATCGATGCGCAATGCTTCTCCCAATTTAGGAAACCACTTTTGAGGGCCAGGCTACTAAATATATACATGCTTCTCTTGGCAGATGACTTGTACCTGAAGAAAGATTAATAGTCTGACGTTGAAGAAAATACCTGGAATGGGGGAGAACTGGCTGGAACCCATCTTGGGGCTCCCTCTATTCCGGGGAGACACCATCAGACCAGGCTGGTTGCTGCTCATGCTGGGGCTGCCATGCGGCGGACTGCTCATGGTGATGCCATAATTGTTGCTCTGATACGGCGACTGCTGCATTCCCTGAGCCTGGGGCGATGGACCCATGTTGCCGCTGGAGCCATATCTCATGCCAGACATTTGCCCCATGTTGTTGGGCTCTACCATGCCGTAGTTCCTGTTCTGTAGCGGCATGGCCTGTACAGGTGAGACATTCATGGCATTGGGATTCTGAGGCAGAGGAGGACGTACACCTTGTGACATGGGACCTGACATGGGACCTTGTGACATGGGACCTTGAGGCATGGGACCTTGAGGCATGGGACCTTGAGGCATGGGACCTTGAGGCATTGGATTAGGTCGGTAGCCATTTTGCTCTCTGAAATATGCAACACAAAAGAATCTCGTTATTTATCAAGTAAGGCTAAAACAAACAAACTGTTAACCTAACACTCACACCCAACATTAAACTTCCCCCCAACCCCTAATCATATATTTTACCTCTGAAAAGCCACTCTTATCTGGCTTCAAACACTGCCTGCACCCAAGCCTCACACCACCAAACCAAAGGTTTCATGATTATTAAGAGAACAAAGAAAATTACAGCACCCACTAAAATCAATGCACATGTACTATGTACCCCATAGTGATTCACACAAGGGGGGGGACGAATCCGGGGGCCCTCCCATGTTAAAGGGGGCTTCCAGATTCCGATAAGCTACTCCTCACACTTTCACAACCACTGGGCCAGGGCTGTCCTCATCAACATGGTGACAAAGAGCCGCCACCCTCCCCCCCCCCCCCATGCTGAGGGTATATAGCCAGGTATGGTTTGGCTGGCAACAGGGGGAGTCGGTGGCTGTTCGCTCATTCCCACCTTTCCTGGCCTGAATGCTCAGATAAGGGTCTAGTATGGATCTTGGGCAGGGGCGGGGTCACCCCATGAGATGACCTTTTTCATAGGCTTTTTGATTTGGGCAAAACAGGGGCCCCATGATCCCCTATTGGGGGCCCCAGTGTCCCGCCCCTGAGGGAAGAGCCCACGCCATTTTTCAGTAAACCCATACCAGACTGGGGTATTTGCCCGTATGAGATGGGCCCCTGGTACCTTTTTCATAGGCTTGATTTGACTTTGGGCAAGGACACAAGGGCCCCATGATCCCCTATTGCCCGGGGCCCCATGAGTTTGTCAGTCCGCCCCTGATCAGTTGGGAAGAGCCCACGCCATTTTTCGTTGGTTTTTTATTCGGATTGGGGGTTCCCCTTGAAACCCATACCAGACTGAAGATCCTAGTATGTATTTTTTTTTTTTTTTTTTGGTGTCAGGGGGGGGGGGTGCATTTTTTGTTGTTTATTTTGACACGGGGTCCCCTTCAAAATTTTTTGCAGCCAAACCCAAAGGACCTTGTATGGATTGGCAGGGTACCCCCAATACGTTTTTTTTTTTTTTCATTTTGTTAATGCCAGCTATTTTGCTTACAATTCTGTTGTCAGTGGAAAATCCCCACTGACAGCAGGGATGACTAACTGTTGCTAAGGAGCCAGGGACTGCCAGCGTCCTAACAATGGATGATTCATCCTTGCTCCTGACGGCAGGGATGAGTCACTGGTTGTCAAGAAGCCAGCGGGGGTACCCGGATCCTAACAACCAAACACCAGGAAACTTTAGGAAAAAAAAAAACAAACAAAAAGGGAAAAAAGCTCCAAAACCCATCAAAAACGCATGCAAACTGGAGTGCGCTTTTTGTGGTGTGTACTGCATGCAGAAATGCACCCAGAGTGCGTTTTTGTGGTGTAAACCGGCCCTTAAAGATAAAAGAACTAACCCCGAATTACTTAGCCTGCTGCGGAGCATTAGCCTACACAATAGTGACCAACTTTCCTGAAAATGTCGAGGGTCACAATATGTCCAGGACTAATATTACACATACCGTTGTAGGAAGTGAGTGGAGACAAAGCCATGAGGATCATTGGTGACAGGGTTGCGAAATAACTTGCTTTTGGTCTGTGCCGTTACCATAGTGCCATCCGCCAAAGAGAACCTGTACAGTGGTGTCTCCGAGTGACCGTGGACGTATGCTGCAAGGACAAGGCCACAGGACAAGCTGAACCCACAGACGCTACTCCCAGAATGCAATGCACTATTACTCCCCAACCAAGAAAGGCCAGAGAGGAGAAAGAACGTTTCTTAATGTGCATCTAAAAAAATTATCTTAAGATAAACAAATACAAAATAACCCAAGATGTACTACAGGAAAAAAAATGAAATCTGCATGAATCTGTAACAAAGGCCTCACCTTCCTGATAGTGGCGTTTGGAGGTCCACTGCTGACCGTCGCTGTGACACAGGAACCTCTGGATACACCTGCGGATTGTGTCCTCAAAGCCCGGCCTCATTGAGTTGCGTAGGGAGTTGGGGTCGATATTTACCACTTTGCCTGTTACAAAGCAGATAAAAGCATTTAGAGGAATATGAAGTCACTGAATGACACAGGACGCAAGTCAAGGGATCTGGAATAGTGGTGGATTGAGATCGATGAAGGCCATGGAAGGTGTGACACTCACAAACAGTCACAGTCAGTGTGGGTGTTATTCCCCAAGTAACAGTGAGTGTTCTGCAATTTCAGTTGTGGTAAAGTTTGTTCTAGGTCAGCCATCAACCAGGGTTCCTCCTCTATAGGGGTTCCTTCAGCTGTGGCTTATTGGCCTCTGATCTGATGATGGCTGCATAATTCTGGGTCCAGTGGCATTTAGCAGCCAGCTACTCAACAACAATGATCTTTTTAGCTGTCTTCAAGGGTGGCATCCTGACCCTCACTATGAGGTGTGACATTCTTCCCACTGACCTCCACAATGAGGTGCAGCATTCTTCCCTCTGACCCCCACTGTAAGGCAGGGCATTCTTACCACTGACCCCCACTGTAAGGCGGGGCATTCTTCCCTCTGACCCCCACTGTAAGGTGGGGCATTCTTCCCACTGACCCCCACAATGAGGTGCAGCATTCTTCCCTCTGACCCCCACTGTACGTCAGGGCATTCTTCCCTCTGACCCCCACTGTACGTCAGGGCATTCTTCCCTCTGACCCCCACTGTAAGGTGCGGCATTCTTACCACTGACCCCCACTGAAAGGTGCGGCATTCTTACCACTGACCCCCACTGTAAGGTGCGGCATTCTTCCCTCTGACCCCCACTGTAAGGTGCGGCATTCTTCCCTCTGACCCCCACTGTACGTCAGGGCATTCTTCCCTCTGACCCCCACTGTAAGGTGCGGCATTCTTCCCTCTGACCCCCACTGTAAGGTGCGGCATTCTTCCCTCTGACCCCCACTGTAAGGTGCGGCATTCTTCCCTCTGACCCCCACTGAAAGGCAGGGCATTCTTACCACTGACCCCCACTGTAAGGCGGGGCATTCTTCCCACTGACCCCCACTGTAAGGCGGGGCATTCTTACCACTGACCCCCACTGAAAGGTGGGGCATTCTTCCCACTGACCCCCACTGAAATGTGGGGCATTCTTCCCACTGACCCCCACTGTAAGGTGCGGCATTCTTCCCACTGACCCCCACTGTAAGGTGCGGCATTCTTCCCACTGACCCCCACTGAAAGGTGGGGCATTCCCACTGACCCCCACTGACCCCCACTGAAAGGTGGGGCATTCTTCCCACTGACCCCCACTGAAAGGTGGGGCATTCTTCCCCCACTGACCCCCCACTGTAAGGTGCGGCATTCTTCCCACTGACCCCCACTGTAAGGTGCGGCATTCTTCCCACTGACCCCCACTGTAAGGTGCGGCATTTTCCCACTGACCCCCACTATAAAGTGTGGCATTCTGCCCACTGAACCCCCTGTAAGGTGCGGATTTCTTCCCACTGACCCCCACTGTAAGCTGAGGTATTCTTCCCACTGTAAGGTGGGGCATTCTTCTTCACTGACCACCAATGCAAGAAGCATTTTTCCCATAGACTCACAATTGGTACTTGTAAAGGGTTCCGAGACCTAAAAAATATTTTAGGGGTTCCTTTGGCTTTAGGTTACATACTGACAAGTGAATGCGCCCTCACCCTGAGTATGAAGGGACACAACCATAATGATGACTAAGGGAATTCACACTATACAAGCCAGCAAAAGCAGAGCAGATGGAGCGATCATCAGTCCGATGCAATAAAATGCAGCATGTGTCCATTTTAGCGCAGCGCTAGGCTGCATTGCAGTGTGAATGGGACACATAGGGAACAACTGGTCCTAAAGACACAGAGTATATGGTGGAAGACAGCAGATCCCTTGTTGCTCCAATACTGCGGACATGATATAAAGCACATTAAAGTGTAGATGTCTGGTGACACACTGCTACTTCTGCAGACATCCCACAGCTGTCAGATCATGAGGAAAGATGGCCCCAGATCAGGGGCTGACTGACAACTCATGGGGCCCCCCGTGTAATTGGGGATCATGGGGCCCCTTTGTCCTTGCACAAACTCAAAAAAGCCTATGAAAAAGGTACCAGGGGCATCTCATGGGCCCCCCCAGCAGTGCTCGAGTTTCCAAATGGTCAGTACGCCCCTGCCCCAGATCCATTCCAGACCAATTTCTACAACCAGTCTCCTCTGAGGTGAGGGATGACCTCCTGTTCTCTAGGCATAAACACGCACGCTTGGGAGATCAAAGCATATGTGATTCGCCAATAAAATCTTCCTGGTGTCGGATCTCGTGTAGGGGCATTCTGAAGTGACAATGAAATGAAAGCCTTTTGCTGCTTGGAGTGGGGAAGGATAAGGTGCTCCATCAGGTTTTAATAGTTTAGAAAAGTAGACAGCGCTGGACCCCGGGGTTGTCTCATCAGTATTACTATCCAATAGCATTTACAGTTATGTTTGTACAAGTTACCTGGTTAGCAGACTGGCAGCTTCTACACAGATTTCTTAGGTTTCCTTTATTTGTAGTGAAAACAAAGGATATAAGATAGAAGTGCCACAGCAAGAATATTAGTCCAGATACAAATGTATTCTAATGCAAGATCAGGTGGAAGATCACGTAGCAAAGCCAATCTTTATCAGGGTTGCGAATACACAACTAAATCAATAAAACGTGCGGTCAATAATATGTGACAAACAGCATATTGTATTGATTTAGATACTAGTCTGTTTTGATTCCTCAGCCCTGATAAAGGGCAAGCTTGGCTCCCCAGAATGCATTGGCTTCCTTATTTGATCCTCTGCCTGACCTTGCACTGGAATACATGGGCTATAATTTAGGGAGTAAACATGGGGCAATCCACAACATTGCGGAATAAAAATATCAGGAGAGTAAGATCTTTCCTGCATCTCTCCCAAATCATCCTGCAGCGAAACATCAATCCAGTCCTCTTCCTTTACACACCAGGAAGGTCAGCGGTTTGAACCCCGTCATGCAATCCATAGCACAGCCAGCAGGAGGCGTGAGCGAGCTGCTGTCAGTCTCCCGCGATAACATCTGCAGTGGATTGCTTCTAATATGTGGAGTAAACAGATTCGGGCTCAGCTCTCCGGAGAACTCTCACATGCCGCTGCAGCAGCCGCGTCTCACCTGAAAGGTCATGCCGGGTAATGAAGCTCTCTGGGTTGGCGGAGAAGCCTCTCTCTATGGTTGTGAAGCGTCTGGCCACACAAATCATGCAGGATTGCAGGTCTGAGAAAAAAAAATTTGCAGAGGGGAATGAACATAAAATATATAAAATGTGTGTATATTATATAACACCGCAAAGTATATACTAGTAAGCTTGGATTATAACACACACACACATATATATATATACATACACACACATATATAATATATATATACATACACACAAAAAAAAAAAAAAAAAAACAAAAAAAAAAAAACACCAAAACAAAAAAAAACAAACAAAAAAACAAAAAAAAAAAAAAAAAAAAAAAAAAAAAAAAAAAAAAAAAAAACCAAAAAACAACAAAAAAAAAAAACAAAAAAAAAAAAAAAAAAAAAAAAACAAAACAAAAAAAAAAAAAAAAAAAAAAAAAAAAAAAAAACAACCCAAAAAAAAAAAAAACAAACAAAAAAAAAACCCACCAAAAAACAACAACAAAAAACAACCAAAAAAAAAACACAAAAAAACAAAAAACACAATACACAAACAAAAAAACACAAAAAACACAAACACACAAAAAAAAAAAACACAAAAAAACAAACAAAACAAACAAACAACAAACAAAAAAAAAAACACAAACCTATAAAAAAAAAAACAAAAAACCCACACACAAAAAAAAACACACACAAAAAAACAAAAAAAAAAACAAAATAACAAAAAAAAAAAAAACAAAACACACACACAAAAAAAAAACACAAACAAAACACAAAAAAAAACCCCAAAAAAAAAAACAAAAACAAAACAAACAACACAAAAAAAAAAAAAACAAACAAACAAAAAAAAACAAAAAAAAAAACCAAAAAAAAATAACCCCACAACACACAAAAACAAAAACACAACAAAAAAAAAAAAAAAAAAAAACAACACAAACACAACAATACACACACAACACACAAAAAAAAAAACAAAAAAACAAAACCAAAAAAAACAAAACACAACACACACAAAAAAAAAAAACAAAAAAAAACAAAAAAAAAACAAAAACACAAAAAAAAAAACACAAAAAACACAAAACAAAAACATAAAAATAAAATATATAAATATACACAAACACAAAAAATAAACAACACAAAAAAATACATAAAACACAAAAACAAAACAACACAAACCCACATACATATACAACACACAAAACACCAACAAAACAAAATAATATATATACAACATACACAACACACAAAAAAACACACACACACATACATATACACACATATATACACCTCTCGCTCTGAAAACACCAATACCTTGACATATTCAAAAAGATCACTAACCCTAGTAAATGCACATTTCCAATAAAGAGCGTTGGAAACTTCCCCCAGCAACACAATTTGGGTGAGGACGGAGGAGCGCCCGGGGTCCAGAATAATTCAACTCTTGGTGTAGAATTAAAATTGTTTATTTAAAGTGTAAAACACAGAGAGGGAGCTAACGAGTTTCGGGGGAAATCTGACTCCCCCCCCTTGCCCAGGGCTGACATACAAACATAAAAGTACACAATGAATATCTGCGTTGGGTATGCTCAGTACATGTACTACACATGCCCACCGCAGATCTTCTATACTTTTATGTTTGAAGAGAAGCAAACTTCCCCGAAATGCATTGGATTGTTCAGTCTGTTTTACGCTTTCAATAAACAATTCTAATTCTACACCAAGAGTTGTGTTTTTCTGGACATCGGGTGCTCCTCCCTCCTCACCTAAGCACTTCTTTCTGAGACGACGGAATTGTCGTACCAGAAAGGTAAACCTCCCAGCGCCCAATGGGAAATCAAAAAAGCTGGATGAATGGCGCCAGGGAGGTGAATTGTGACGGTGATCCAATAAAAAAAATATTACATAGACTAAAGCCGGCCATACATGGGTATAATTCTGAAAGAATTTTCATTCGAATTTTGCACCATTAATGGGTCACAGAAATGGTGGCGCCATCGGATTACAAAATGCACGAAAATTCCGATTTTCTAAAGAAAATTTGTTTAGGATTTGACTTGTGTATGGTCTGCATAAGGATGTAGAATTTTCTCCATCACCTCATCCCCCACAGTTATTACCTCTTGACTCTCCCCAGTTACACTATATTGCCCAAAGTATTGTCCCCGCCCTCCCAATCATGTGATTCAGGTGTTCCAATCCCCTCCCAATCATGTGATCCAGGTGTTCCAATCCCCTCCCAATCATGTGACTCAGGTGTTCCAATCCCCTCCATATCATGTGATTCAGGTGTTCCCATCCCCTCCATATCATGTGATTCAGGTGTTCCAATCCCCTCCATATCATGTGATTCAGGTGTTCCAATCCCCTCCATATCATGTGATTCAGGTGTTCCAATCCCCTCCCAATCATGTGATCCCGGTGTTCCGATCCCCCTCCATGGACACAGGTGTATACAATCAAGCCCCTAGGCATGCAGACGGCTTCTACAAACATTGGTGAAAGAAAGGGTCGCTCTCAGGAGCTCAGTGACTCCAAGCGTGGTCCTGTTACCAAAAAAAAAAAAAAAACCCCAACAGGGGGCGCAAACTAGGTGTCGTACACAAGAACTCTTAATAAAAAGACAAATGGCAACTAAATGTAGAACACAATGGATCGCTCATCGCATACAGTATGCCATAATTTTGCTGATCAGCGTGGTGGTATGCTCTTATGGGGTTGCCATTTGTCTTTTTAATGACAGAGTACTATTGTCTGCACTTAGTTAGCGCCCCCCATGTCTTTTTCTAAACCCCCAAGGTGGACCATCACCTACCGCTGGGTGCAACCCACTGGAAGGGATTCCCTTACTCTCCAAGGAGCCACCCATCAACTACTAGTGACCAATAAAAATCGGTCCAGCTCAAACCAGATACTCAGAAACACTATGAAACCATCAATATGATGTTCAGTTTCAAGATATTATGTCCTTGGGAACGATTTCTTTTCCTAAAAATCTAAGTTACATAAAAATGATGAGACAGCATCCATTGCAAATGAGTCACTGACCTTCCCCCTCCTCCATCATGGCACGTGGCTGCGATAAGGCAAAACACTGCATGGTCTCGTATCTTTGCCGTGGGTCCATGCCGCCACCTCCATCTTCCAGGTGGTCCAGAGGCGTCTTCACCAGCATGCGACAGTTAAAGGTGTGACTCTTCTGCCTGGGGGTCTCATTCGACCATGGCACTCCCATTAACTTTAGGAAAAGAAGATGGTTCCTGGTTAGAGGTCTATGTACTACCACGGTCCTAATGTTTTTCAAGATTACAATGAAGCATGAAAAGAGATCTCAAATGGAAATACAATCATATGTTTTCATATTTCAACTTTAACAAAAAAAAAAATGTAGGTGGTAAATATTAGGAAGGTAGGAGGGGCGCGGGGAAGAAGAGGCGGGGGAAGAGCTGAGGGAAGGGAAGAATGAAGGCCTGGAATAAGGAGTACTAGAGTTTGGAAATGAAGACTTTGAAGTGGATTTACTATATAGATGGAGCACTTTGCAAGGGAATTTGCTCCAGAGCTTAATAAATGAGGGGAAGCTTTGCGGACTTCCATCATCCAATCATGTGAAAGGAAAATTTCTTTTTTTTTTGTTTTTTTAATTTTCTTGACATGTGATTGGGTATTCTTTGCAAAGTGAAGCTTTACCTCATCTACCAAGCAGGGGGGCAACTGCACTTGCAAAGTGCACAGTCTATTTGCCTTTAGTAAATCGACCCCTGCGTGTCTTACAGAAACACAGTCCGACCTACCTGTGGATTTGGGCAGATTCTTGAGGAAGTCTTTGCGGTCATCTTCGTGCAGGATGGTGTACACGCTGGTGTTGACCAGATCCTCCTGCTTGTACTGTAAGTACTGGGTGACGTTCTCGGATACGAACACAATGCTGCCTTCCCGGTTCACCACAAACAGGAACCCGTCCAGAGCCTGCCGACAGAACCGTGCACACGTCACACAAGAGGGAGAGAGGTTCCAGGGTTACGGAGGAGGTCTGGTGCTAGAATTATCGCTCTTACTCTGGCATGCGAGGTGATATGTAACATGTGTATTACAATCAATGGATTCATGCGTAGGCACCCTGATGTGTGCGTTTACGTTTGTACCTGTGTGTGTGTGGGGGGGGGGTCCTAAAAAAAAAAATTTCTGGAGGGGGGATGTTATGTGCTTGGATTTAACTATTTTTTTTTTTACAAAAAGGGAAAAAAAGATTTTTTTTTTACTGAACTTTTTTTTCATCACCTATGGGACACAAATATGTGATGATTTATTGCTGACAGGTTCTCTTTGAGACATGCAGGGTCTAAAAGTCTCCTGTGTCTCCTCTGTGATCCATTAGATGTATTGCAATACATCTTCCCCCGGCTATTCTAGGCGGGAAAGTGACAGCCGCGACCCGGAAGTCGCCTTCCCGGTCACACAAAGATGAGGAATGAGGAGGGGATTTCACCGGAACCACTGCGAAAGCAGTCAGCAACAGCGGAGCCGCCTGACTAGGGGGGGGGGGATATCCTCCTGCGCTTGATATGGGTACGTCCCTATCTACCAGCTGCAATCACTCAACCTCAACCAATAAGTCGTAAATACCATATATTAAATAGTGAAGCGCTCCCAAACTACCTAAGAAAAATCCCTCTATACATACCATAAATACCAACTGAACTTAAAAGTAATCGATACCATAAGGTGATGAAAAACATAAAAACTAAATCTATTAGTGAAAATACATAAACACCTCTCTTAATATCAATTAATAATGCCTCATAATTAATCTGTGATGGAAAATAACAAATATGAAATTCATGAAAAATACTCAAATATTAGTGAAAATAATAATACTAATTCATGTGACAAATCGTGATAAATTGTGACAAACCTATAAATCAAATAAATAGTGATTCTTCAAAAAATAAATAGATAAATAAATAAATATGCAATACATATATCCTGTGATAAAACCCTATAACAAATTAAATAAATAGATAACTACTTAATTCTGTGAAAAAAAAAATAAATAAACTCAGTGTCCAAAATATACTCAAAAAGTCCATGCAAATTGTGAAAACACTCTGTGATCTTCACTTCTAGTGCTCAAAAAGGAATCCTCCAATGGCAGCAATGCCTGCTCACCTCCCCTCCTCGACCCACACAGGGCCACAAGGCAAAAAAACTCCCCTGACTGCTTCCACCGGACAGGCAGGAGTCTGCCGGCCAGATTTACACACAATTCCCATGGCATACATTCCCATGATGTCATACATACCAGACGTCTCCATCAGGGGGGGAGGGGCTTTCTCAGCCAAGCACACCATTCTGCATGCCTGAGCTAAGAGTAGTGGATTCCAGGAAGTAAATGCCACGTGAATGATCTGCCCTTACTCAAGATGGCCACTGCCAGAAATGCTAGGGGCTGGTGTTTTTCAAAGAGAGGTCTCAGCAAAATAAAGCATCAAGATATGGATTGGGGGTGGGGCGTTGCTTTCAATACTAAAAAGCGTTTTTGGTTTGTGCTGCTCAGATGCAGCGAAGTTTCACTTCAAATAAAAGTTTAAAAAAATAAAATAAAAATCCACTTTGTGTGCACCAAATGTTTTTGCCAACCCAGATATTCTCTTGTAAAAGTAGCCGTGACATCATCACTGTGCTCTGTGCACAGATGTGGGCGGGACCAGCAGGCTGCACTTACAGGAAACTACAGGAGGGGGCGGAGACAAGCCCAGTCTTCTCTGCCTACAGAGAGAGAGCAGCATTGAGCGGTCTTTATGACAGGAAGTCTAAACTGCACAGATCTGGATGAAATACACAAAGCTCCCCGAGATTCAGGGAGAACACACGTGACTGAAGAGCTGCTTATCCCGGAGTTCAGCTTTATAAATTATTTTAGGGGATTTAGGACGAAGTACACAGCACGAGCCAACGATGGCTGTACACACCTGTAGTAGAAGGGGCCCCAAAGAATCCTTATCGATCACCCCCTGCCCTGTGGACGACACGTCTGCCTTCTGGACCTCATCATCATTGGAGGAAGCCTTTCCTAAAAAACACACACAGGAAAAAAAAAAAATTTATTCTGAGACCAGAACAGATCTTACATGCACACCGGGGGATCGCAGCACTGCTGCCCGGCTCACTGTATCTGTGGAGGAAGTCATTGTTGTCACACCGGCTGGACTACAAACGTGTGTTATTGTTCATCTAATGGTCGATGTGATTAGTAGTTTCTACAACAGAGTCAACGTTCTTCGCGTTTTCCTTTCAGCTCACAGGTAGTGACAAGGACAGTGCATTTCTGACAGGACTGATAGGGATTCACTGCACTAGCTGAAAAGTGAAAACTAATGCAGCCACCACATCTCAAGCAGAAATATACAACATTGTTGGTTATTTTATACAAATTTTCCAAAAGGAATCACAAAAACAGGAACAAAACCAATGTAAAGTATCATTGTAAATAACGCGTTGTCATTGGAAGACAATATAAAGAAAAGAATAAACATAAACCTAAAGATAAAACTGAAAGCATTTTGTTCCATCGAAGACCTGCTGATCCTGCCAGAAACTGTGTGAGCTGATAGCTTCCTGTATTCTCAGTGTCTGCTGATTCCTACCAGATACAACCGTTCCCAGTTATCTCTAGGACTATAGAAATCCCCCCCCCCCATCATACAGAGAAGAGAGGTGGTTCTGTTGTCCAAAATTCAAATACATTTTTAGTTATTTGGAAATTCGGATGTATCCGAAACACAATAGTAATGAATGCACACGAATTGTCCGAAACAGTGAAATTCATGCAAACTGGCGAAATCCAAAATGCGATTCAAATAGGACAACGCAATTCTTAGATGTAAAAAATTCAGCAGCTGCATCAGAAATCGTAAACAGAAAAACTGTATGCGGATGGCGATTCGAATTTTCCGAATTCAATCAAATTGAATTCGACCGAGTTTAATTGAATTCGACCAAATTTGAAAAATTCAAATCTAATTCAAAAATGAATAAATGAAACTAAACGAATTCCAAAAACTAAATTTAAACTACAAATTAGTTAATTGGCAAAAAGGAATGAATATGAATGAAACAAATGTTTTAATTCTACACGCCTCTAGACCCAAGTTAGATTGACAATGCTGCTCCTCCATAGATGTGGTGGAGTGAGCGAGCGTGGACACCCCAGGACAGGAAGTGTGTTACTGGCAGGATCACCAGAGGGAAATAAAGCCTGAAAAAAGGAGAATGCGGTCACAACAGAGGACTGGAAGGCTGCAACTAATTATATTTTTGTTTTTGGGTTTAGATAGCATTTAATGAGCTTTAACCTCCTCCTTCAGTCGCAGCCTCCTCATCTTCACAGAGGTTCAGCAACACAGCAACCTCCATCTTGTGTTTGTACAAACCTCCTCCTATCGGAACCTCCACAACTTCCAGACCTAACTTTATATTGTGTTTGTTCTCAGCAGAACAGGAATGTGGAAGTCATAAAATGATTTTTATTTTTCCTTTAGCAAAGATTAATCATGGCTTTGGGTATTTTTAGACCATTTAGGTCACCTGCTAATCTCTTCTCCTTCGGTAACAATCACAGGAGAGGATGGACTTGTTTTTGGTGTTCTGTTGTCATCACCCAAAAAGTTACTCCCACAATAAAATACGGAGTCATGTCCTCCTGATGAGCGCTAGCTGCCTCAAAGTGAAAACAGCGATTAGTTTTTTGTTTTATACATACTGCACACTATTGTTTCTTCGACTCCTAGTTAGATATACGTCCCTACAGAGGAACTAAACCCTCCTCTCCTTAGCTGGATATGTCCCTACAGAGGAACTAAACCCTCCTCTCCTTAGCTGGATATGTCCCTACAGAGGAACTAAACCCCCTATCCTTAGCTGGATATACGTCCCTACAGAGGAACTAAACCTTCCTATCCTTAGCTGGATATACGTCCCTACAGAGGAACTAAACCCCCCTATCCTTAGCTGGATATACGTCCCTACAGAGGAACTAAACCTTCCTATCCTTAGCTGGATATACGTCCCTACAGAGGAACTAAACCCTCCTCTCCTTAGCTGGATATGTCCCCACAGAGGAACTAAACCCTCCTATCCTTAGCTGGATATACGTCCCTACAGAGGAACTAAACCTTCCTATCCTTAGCTGGATATGTCCCTACAGAGGAACTAAACCCTCCTATCCTTAGCTGGATATACGTCCCTACAGAGGAACTAAACCCTCCTATCCTTAGCTGGATATACGTCCCTACAGAGGAACTAAACCCTCCTCTCCTTAGCTGGATATACGTCCCTACAGAGGAACAAAACCTTCCTATCCTTAGCTGGATATACGTCCCTACAGAGGAACTAAACCCCCCTATCCTTAGCTGGATATACGTCCCTACAGAGGAACTAAACCCCCCTATCCTTAGCTGGATATACGTCCCTACAGAGGAACTAAACCCCCTATCCTTAGCTGGATATACGTCCCTACAGAGGAACTAAACCCTCCTCTCCTTAGCTGGATATACGTCCCTACAGAGGAACTAAACCCCCCTATCCTTAGCTGGATATACGTCCCTACAGAGGAACTAAACCCCCCTATCCTTAGCTGGATACACTTCCTTACAGCGGAACTAAACCCTCCTCTCCTTAGTTGGATATACTTCCCTAAAGGAACTAAACCCTCCTATCCTTAGCTGGATATACTTCCCTACAGAGGAACAAAACCCCCCTATCCTTAGCTGGATATACTTCCCTACAGAGGAACTAAACCCCCCTATCCTTAGCTGGATATACTTCCCTACAGAGGAACTAAACCCTCCTCTCCTTCGTTGGGTATTTTTCCTGAACTGAACTCATCTATCCATAGTTTGATTATACTTCCTTCTGGTTTCTGGGTTGCGTAGTTTTTAACCACTTTACAACCGCGCTATAGCTGAATGACAGCTAAAGGGTGATTGTCCAGTTCTGGGAGGGCATAATATGATGTCCTCCTACAACGTGCTCCCAGCGGTGCACACACACAACGCTGTCAATTTTTTCTGTGTCCTACAGAACCAGCTGATCACATAGACTAAAATGCCAATCACAGCGGCCTTTTACCACATGATCAGCTGTGTCCAATGACACAGCAGATCACCGAGTAAATGCAGTTGCCGGTTATCGGCATTTTCCTCATGCTGTCGCAGCGTGCGGAAAGTACTGCCGATAACCGGCAAATATTACAGAGCAGATTTGCACTGATAAACAGGGTACTGATGATCAGTGCCCAGCAGTACCAGTCACCAGCAGTACCCAGTGCCTCCTCATCAATGCCCACCAGTGCCGCCTATCAGTACCCATCATTGCTGCATATCCGTGCAGTAGCACCAGTGCCTCCTTGTCAATGCCGCCTATCAGTACCCATCATTGCTGCATATCCGTGCAGTAGCACAGTGCCTCCTTGTCAATGCCCACCAGTGCCGCCTATCAGTACCCATCATTGCTGTATATCCGTGCAGTAGCACAGTGCCTCCTATCAGTACCCATCATTGCTGTATATCCGCGCAGTAGCACAGTGCCTCCTATCAGTACCCATCATTGCTGCATATCCGTGCAGTAGCACAGTGCCTCCTATCAGTACCCATCATTGCTGCATATCCGTGCAGTAGCACAGTGCCTCCTATCAGTACCCATCATTGCTGCATATCCGTGCAGTAGCACAGTGCCTCCTATCAGTACCCATCATTGCTGCATATCCGTGCAGTAGCACAGTGCCTCCTATCAGTACCCATCATTGCTGTATATCCGTGCAGTAGCACAGTGCCTCCTATCAGTACCCATCGTTGCTACATATCCGTGCAGTAGCACAGTGCCTCCTATCAGTACCCATCATTGCTGCATATCTGTGCAGTAGCACAGTGCCTCCTATCAGTACCCATCATTGCTGTATATCCGTGCAGTAGCACAGTGCCTCCTCGTCAATGCCCACCAATGCCGCATATCCGTGCAGTAGCACAGTGCCTCCTTGTCAATGCCCACCAGTGCCACCTCATCAGTGCAGCCTATCAGTGTCCATCAGTGCTGCCTATCCATACCACCTCATCAAGGCCCATCAGTGCTGCCCCTCAATGCTGCCTTTTAGTGCAGCCTCAAACACACATCAGTGAAGAAGAAAAATTACCTGTTTGTAAAATTTTGTAACAGAAACAAAAAACATTTTTCTTCCTTTAAATTTGCTGCTCTTTTTTTAAATACCAACATAAGAAAGCTCTATTTGTGTGGAAAAAAACGATAAAAATGTAATATGGGTACAATGTTGCATGTCCACGCAATTGCCAAAGTGCGACAGCGCTGAAAGCTGGAAAATTGTCCTGGGCTGGAAGGGGGTAAAAGTGTCCGGTAGGGAAGCGGTTAATATCGATCTTATGTTGTATTTGTGTTTTTAACCGAACGTAGTAAACCTTCCCGTCAGATTTACAGTATGGGAAGTGTGCAATTTCCTCTTTTTACCCTCTTGTCCCTCTAGCGCAGCGTTTTGATCAAGTTTTGGGAGCCCGTTAAATCAATGGCTTTAGTCCTCGTGTTTTGTGGTCATTCCTGTCCTGTGAGACGAGGCACTCCTACCCATCACTTGACAATTCCTCCGGGCACCTCCTACAGACTAGACCAGCGGTTCTCAACCTGGGGGTCGCGACCCCTTTGGGGGTCGAACGACCATTTCCCAGGGGTCGCCTAAGACCATCGGAAAACACATATTTCCGATGGTCTTAGGAACCGAGACACCGCTCCTCCGTCTCAGGCGATGTGTGGGAGGGAGGGATGATACGCTGCTCCTGTCACCTGGCCACACCTCCAGGATCGCTCAGCAGCTCCGCCTCCTCGCCGCTGATTGGCCACCGGAACTGTAGCTCAGGAGAGGTACACAGGCGGCCAATCACCGGCGAGGAGGTGGAGCTTGGAGAGGAGGAGCCGAGCGGCAGCGCGGGTCCATCAAAGAAGATCGAGGGAGCTGCCGGAGCGAGTGAAGAGGAGAGCGGCCAGAGAAGGAAGACAGCTGACAGGTAA